GCCTAGCTCACAGCAACCTCAAACTCCTGGGCTCAAGTGATCCTCCTGCTTCAGCCTCTTGAGTAGCTGGGACTACAGACATGCGCCACCATGCCTGGCTAATTTTTTCTATATATATTTTTAGTTGTCCAGCTAATTTCTTTCTATTTTTAGTAGAGACGGGGTCTCACTCTTTCTCAGGCTAGTCTTGAACTCTTGACCTCGAGCAATCCTCCTGTCTCGGCCTCCCAGAATGCTAGGATTACAGGCGTGAGCCACGACGCCCAGCCTATCTGTATTATTTTGTATCATACTGAGATGAATTCTTTGTCAGGCAGTTCTTAGATATTTATTTATGTATTTCTTTATTGGAGATGATTACTGGAGCTTTATTAGTTTCTTTTATTGGTGTTCATATCTGACTGATTCTTTATGGACTGGATACCCTTGGTTTCTGTCTCTGAATCTGAAGGAGCAAACACCTCTTCCAGTCATTATATACAAGTTTTGGGAGGTAAATACCTTCTCCTATTGAGTACTTGGGCTGCTGAGTTTAAGATTGCAGTGAGGTTAGAACCAAGTCATATGACTGTTACTGGGTCTGCAGTGGGTTCCATTGTTGGCCGACTTGTTACCAGGGTGTCAAACAGTTATGGATCCTGGCTATTCCCTGGGAAGACTGAATTTTTTTAGGCCCTGGATCAGTAGGAGTTATGCTGAGATAAGGAATTGCAGTTGTTTCTGCAAATGTGGCACTGATGAAATGTATGTGGACAGGTTTGGCTCCTGCTGGGTCCCTGGGAGTGCTTTTAGTCAGTCATTAGACAGGTCCTTGGATGGGCAGTATTGATCATTGATTATAGCTGAGAGGGGCTGGAAGTGATGTATAGGGCTGCTGCAGGATACACAGCTGAGAGAAATGTCTTCAGGTCTTTCTCTTGGTCCATGTCATGTCTCCCTCCAAGTTTTTGGGTGAGTAGGACTCCTCCTTGACCCCGGATGACAGGGACTAGAGCTGGTTATCAAAGCAATATTAAGATTCACGGTAAGATTGTTGATAGCAAGCCTGCCCCCATTGGCACAGATATGTGTGCTTCCAGACATACCTCAGATTGAGCAAAATTGGTCCTGGACTGTGTCCAAGGCCAGGTTACAGTGCCACGTCAAGATCAACTTTCAGATCAACATTGGTGGTTTTACAATCAGGAGCACAAATTGTTGTTTCTCTCTGAGGGTTCCTATGTTGGCAGGATTTTTCCCATACCATGGCTGAGAGGTGAAAATGGTGGGTTTTAGGTTGATATAGTGGCCAAAGATAGGACCAAGGTGTTCAGGCCTGTTCACCTGAGACACAGATGGATATGAATCCTCCTGTGTATCTTGGCAGATAATGCTAGTGGCATGACAAAGGTCAAATGTGCTATAACTAAGTGTAAATATGGTCATTTTTTATTCTGTTGCCAAGACTATTTATTATTGGCAAGTTGGCCACTTGGTCACGGTCTAGCTCTCTCAAAACAGTCCTCCTCAATCTTGGGCTTCACCAGGGTGTCACAAACTCTGACATGGATCCCAAAACTCCCATGAAGGCTGCTTTGTTTGGGCATAGCTGTCACATTGTGCTGTGGGGGATATGATTAGAGACCTCGTACTCTTGTCCTCTTGCTTATGTTATTCTCCTTTATGTTTCACTTCCTGAAATGTGATATGTCAAATTTGTTCATGTTTCTTAGATTCAAAAGTTCTTAAATAAAATGCTAAATTTACATGTTTTGTAAGAAATAAATTAGATTACTAGTGGGCACCACATATTTATTAAAATGTTTGGTTTTAAGTTCACATTTATTGCAGGCAACAAGAAATCATTAGAATTTATATCCATTTTTCTCATTTAAATATATTAAAATGATGGTATAGTTTAATCCCAGATGTTTGCTTTTTATTTCAGTAATTAATACCATATTTTATAGCATTTATGTTATTCCTTCATTTGGAAATGTGAGGTTTTCTTAGCTTCCATAGGCTGTGTTATTGCTGCTGTATTTTGTGTAAAAATAGCACCAATCGCCATGGGTGCACACAATTGAAAATAGGAGATATCAAAACTATTACTTTTTTTGAGACAGGGACCCATTCTACTGGTAAAGAATTATTTTCAATGTATATCTATATTATCTTCAGTATTTTCTGTATCAAAATTTCTCTTGTTCTTGTTTTCCAGTCCGTATTACTGTGTTTCTTTTCTGGGTATATGTTTCCTCAGAGGAGTTAATTGTATTTTTTAATTTTGAACCTGAATATTATGAATTGGATGATAGTGGTCAACTCTGTACACTTTAAGGTGTGGTGGTATATGATTTATATATGCATTAGGCATATGTCTGTTGCCTATAAAAATACCTTATGGGTTTTTTGCCTTTAAAAATATTGCCAATATGTGTTCAGGACTTATATTGTCCATACTTGTTTGGGTCTTATCTCAAACAAGTTGAGATAAGTGAGAAAAGTGAGAGACACTTTTGTTATTTGAAGGTATATTTTTCTAATTATCTCTTTTAGGAAGTCAAATTCTTAATTGTGGTAAAAGACATTAAATTATCATATCAAAACTTTTAAGTGTACACTTTAGTAATATTATATATATTCACATAGTTTTTCAACAGATTTCTAGATTATTTTTATTTTACAAAAATAAAAGTGAATACCCTTAAAGGATAAAGTGTCCTTTCCACCTCTCTCTACCTCCTGAAGAAAACATTGTACTTTCTCTTTCTATGAGTTTAACTACTTTAGATACTTTAGATGAGTATAATACTACTGTGTCTGTTTCTTTTCGATTATCTTATTTTACTTCATATAATACCCTCTAGGTTTGTCCTTACTGTAGTATGTGTCAAGATTACCTTCTTTTAAAGCCTAAATAATATTTCATTGTATGTATATGCCACATTGTCTTTATCTACTCATCAATAAAGGAACGTTTGGTTTGCTTCCAGGTATTGTCTTTAGTGAATAATGCTATAATATACATAAATGTGTAAATATCTAATCCATGTTTTATTTTGAATATGTTTGAGATATTTTTGATACATTTATGTTATACCATGTGCATGTTCTTGCTTTTGTTGCCTAATCTTTGATGTTATATCCAAGAAATTATTACATAGACCAGTTTTCATGGAGCTTCCCCTTTATATATACTTCTAGGAGTTTAATAGCTATAGGTCTTGCATTTAAGTCTCTGTGTTTTTAATTGACACATTGTAATTGTACCTATGTATGTGTACAATTTGACACTTCACATATATGTGTTGTATCATGATGAAATCATGGTATTTAGTGTATCCATTACCTCATTATTTTTCAATTCTTTGTGATGAGAACATCTACAAGCTGGTCTTCTAACTATTTTGTAATATACAATACCTTACTCTTAACCATTGTCATCTTACTGTGCAATAGAAAACTAAAACTTCTTCTTTCTTTATAATTGTGGGGTTTTTTTTCCCAAATACATGCTCACAGGAAGATGAAATCTTTATAATTGGAATTTTGTACTTGTGAACAAACCTTGCCTCATCCTACCTCAGGAAAGCCTCAGCCATTGGTAACCATTGTTCTACTCTCTACATCTATGATATCAACTTTTTTTTTAAGATTCCATACATGAGCACAATCCTAAAGTATTTGTCTTTTTGTATCTGGCTTATTTCACTTAACATGACACCCTTCAGATCCATCCATGTTTGTATGCCAGTACCATGCTGTTTTGGTTATAATAGCCTTTTAGTAAATTTTAAAATAAGGTTCCGTGATGCCTCCAGGTGTGTTTTTTTTACTCAGGATTGCTTTGGCTATTTGGGGTATTTTCTAGTTTCACATAGATTTTAGGGTTTCCAAAAAAAATTCTGTGAAGAGTGTCATTGGTATTTTGATAGAAATTGTGTTGAATCTGTAGATCACTTTGCATAGTATGGCCATTTAAAAATTATTTTTTCCAATCTATTAACACAAGATAACTTTCCATTTATTCATGTGTATTTCAGTTTCTTCATCCATATTTTATAGTTTTCAGTGTAGATAACTTTCACCTTTTTAATTAAGTTTATTGCTAGGCACTCTGGGAGGCCGAGGCAGGAGGATTGCTCAAGGTCAGGAGTTCAAGACCAGCCTGAGCAAGAGTGAGAAGTGAGACCCCGTCTCTACTAAAAATAGAAGGAAATTAGCTGGACAATTAAAAACATATAGAAAAAAATTAGCCGGGCATGGTGGCACATGCCTGTAGTCCCAGCTACTCGGGAGACAGATGGATTGCTTGAGCCCAGGAGTTTGAGGTTACTGTGAGCTCGGCTTGACGCCACGACACTCTACCCTGGGCAACAGAGTGAGACTCTGTCTCAAAAAAAAAAAAAAAAGGGTTTATTGCTATGTGTCTTAATTTTTTATAGCTATTGTAGATGTAGAAAAAGCATTTGAAAACTTTCCTTCTTGATAAAAACACTGAGCAAATTTGGTATAGAAGATATGTGTATCAACTCAATAAAGGCCATATGTGAGAAACCAATGTTAACAATATGGTGAACAGGAAAAATGCTGAAAGCTTTTTCCTGAGATTTCAAACATGACAAGGATGACTGTTTTCACTGCTCCTATTAAATATAGTACTGGAAGTCATAGTGAGAGCAATTAGAAAAAAGAAGGAATTAAAGTCATCCAAATAGGAAAGTAGGAAGCAAAATTGTCCCTGTTTGGAGACAAAATGATCTTATATTTTGAAAAATCTGAAGACTACACCACCAAAAAATAGTGTTGGAACTATTAAAAAATCAGTAAAGTTACAGAATACAAAATCAACATAAAAAATTATTAATATTTCTGTATACTAACAGTGAACTAAAAAAGAAATTTCAAAATTCCATTTCAAAAGCTACAAAAAATAAGTCAGTCCATTTTGGGTTTTTTTTGTTTTTTTTTTATTTCAGCATATTATGGGGGTACAGATGTTTAGGTTACGTATGTTGCCCTT